GAGCAGAGAGCCCGATGCGGGGCTCGATCCCAGGATCTTGGGATCGTGACCTGAGCCGAAGGCAGACGCTTAACGACTGAGCCACCCAGGCGCCCCCCAAATGCTGTCATTCTTAAGCTTTTAGAAATGCGGTACTCTCTAACTTCTCCAGATCTCTAACCGTGAAGTGGCTTAAGCACCGACCTCATAAAGATAAAGGGATCCCATGATTTAGACATTATGTGCTTTGGTGAACATCTATCTATAAAAATCTATTTTCCAATTGGAACATGACAAAAATAAGCATGCATTTTCATGATATTGAAACTCAGCTCTAAAGGAAGCCAAATTAAGAATGCAACAAGTCTCTGAGAAACTCAGCGCATGCTTGTTAAATGAATGAACCAATACATGAATGAAATGGGAGGACAAAAGCTACTACAGACCACATCAATGCAAAATTCAGGCATCTAAGGTAGCAATGAGATCACCATCCTGAACGCATACGGGAATATGCCATAGAAAGGGAGACAGACCAACAGAGAGACCTTCTACAATCAGTTACTTCCAAGGATATAAAGAGGAGTTAACACTAATTTCTAGGAAATGCAAAAAAAAGATTAGCCTAGAAGACTATGCTTATAGCCCTGGCCTTTTCCTCTCCTGTTAACATTTCTTGCTTTTGTGTTTGTGTTCTCTAGAAACTGGACTTACCTCTCGTCTGTGCTTTGTATCCTCATAGATAATTTGTTGTTGTACCTTGTTTTTATAGAGTCAATTCTTAGCTTTAATTTATATTTTAAAGCTTTATATCTGAATCAAACTTCTGTTCTTGGCCACAAGGATTTCATTTCTTCCATTAAAATATGCCTCCCCTATTTTTCACTGTCCACTCTTCCATATACTGTTTCTAGTCCTAGATGATCACACTTCAGATCACAATCTCTGCTTCCTTGGTTTAGAAAATGTCAATTTGTGTTATAGATATGCTAAAAGAACAGCTACGTATTACATAAGGGTGGGTTATAATTCAGAAATCTTAGCACATTCTAATAAGAAATTTTACTGAGCACTTGCTGTGGGCTTCGCGCTGTGTATTTCATAAAAATATCAGTGGTATGCTAGAACTTGCTTATTATGCCAACTCACAAACGCCAATTTTGTACGTCTCTTTCCAGCTCCCAGTACAGTGACTTCATGGCAGTGGCTTGAAATCTGCCACGGGAGGGACATTTACACTATAGATATTGACAAACGCTACAAATGTTTGTTTCAGTTTTTTGTGAGAGAAAGAGAGTGTGTACGCATTGGGTGGGGGGAAGGCCGGGGAAGAGGAAGAGGGAGAGAGAAAATCCCAAGCGGGCTCCACACCCAGCACAGAGCCCAATGTGGGACTTGATCTCATGACCCTGACATCATGACCTGAGCCGAAATCAAGAGGGGGACGTTTAACCGAATGAGCCGCCCAAGTGTTCCAAGATTTTATTTTTTAAGTAATTTCTACACCCAACGTGGGGCTCAAACTCATGACCCCAAGATCAAGAGTCACATGCTCTTCCAACTGAGCCAGGCAGGCAACCCTATTTTTGTTTTTTAAAGAGACTCCATTGTATAACATTTACTAACAAATCAATGGGCACAATCTGATTATTTGACTAGAAAGCCTGCATTTTTACAGTCCTGCTACTCAATTATTGCTGAGTGAGCACTAAATAACAATGTAAATAAGACTCTAAGTTATTTAAGCAAGGATAGTGTTCACAAGTTAGAAATATTAAAAAATCAGACCATTAAAGTTGTTCTCAGATAGCAACAGGTATTTTATGTTGCAAAATAAAACATTTCTTAAATGCAAATATTTCTCCTACAGAACACATTCACACGTTAGGCTGACAAAGGTTTATTCTATGGTAGCTTTCTGCTGGTATGTTAGTTCACAGTAATTGGTAAGATATTTACAAAGACTGTGGAGAAGAGTTCTTGACTGTTATTTTCAGCCAGCATCTAAGATTTAAAAAAAAATCCAGACGAACCATGAGAGACGATGGACTCTGAAA